CATCTATAAAACAGTGCTATCTACCAGCCCCACAAACCTTAGAGGGCATCAGTATCCCTGTGGATATAAAAGAGCTACTCAGATGGACACTCAAATACATACCAAGTACTAGTATGAAGGCAAAGGAATCTTTCACTTAAAAGTAGGACTACAAAAGCTAGATTGTAGTATTATGTATTAGATGTACTATTAAGAGAATATCTTCAGCAGTACAGTCAGAGTATGGATATGTTGTTTTCCTTCAGAAAAAAGGTGGCAATGCCAATTCCGTAGTATACATTAGTACAACTATCTACTTTATTCACTTCTAAGTCTCATGAAATGTCAAAGATCACCCACCCAGCTCTAGTGAAAAGAAATGCCCCATATAAAACACAACATATCTTTAGGATAGGTACTAGAATCCAGGGAAAATTACTCACAATGATGCTTTGGGCACTAACACTAATAACAGAAGGCCCAGGAAAGAAAAGTGAAAACCTCATATTATAAATTGTCACTTAGAAGTGGCTTAAATACTTCTCTCTACCCAACTATGGACACTCCACCCCCTCTAATCCACTCTTGACAAAAGCTAAACATGCTGATTACTTGAATTTCACCACTCTCCCAGCTAACACACAGCAAAACAGTCCAAGAAAATGCATCATGTGGCAAGAAAGGTACTCATATACATCTTATCAGTCCAGGAACACCAGAGGAAAGACACCCTCCAATTAAATATCTTCAAACAAACTACCAGAAGAACTAGGTTTCAAGGATTTGCTTGTGTGTGTTTACCACAGACTGACAGCTTTATCCTGAAGCTTTTTAGTCCCTCCTTCTCCATAAAAAAATGCATCCAAATGATAAAACATCAAGCTTGGACAAAATTAATGTTTTCAGCAACAGTACTCCTCCAGACCTATATGTACAAAAATATTTATAACAGCTCTTTGTGGTGACAAAGAATTGGAAACTGAAGGGATGCCCATCAATTGGGGAATGGCTGAACAAGTTGTACTGTGATTGTGATGGAATACTATTGTGCTATAAGAAATGATGAACAGGATGGTTTCAGAAAAACCTAGGAGGACATACACGAACTGATGCAAAGTGAAGTGAGCTGAACCAGGGGAACATTGTACACAAAAACAATACTGTATGATGATCAACTGTAAATGACTTGGCTACTCTGGTCAATACAATGATCCAAGACAATTCCAATGGACTTATGGAGAAAAAACACTATCCACCTCCAGAGAAAGAATTGATGGGAGTCAGAACACAGATTAAGGCTTTTTTTTTTTTTAAACTTTCTTTGATTTTTTTGGATCTTTGTTTTCTTTTGCAACTTGGCTAACATGGAAATGTTTTGCATGACTACACAGGTATAGTCTATATCAAATTATTTGGAACTCAACATTTTTTTTAAAATGTTAATTTTTTTTGTGTACAGGTAACTGAGGAAAAAAATGTAAAAAGACTGTAAATTCCTTAAGGACAAGAATCATGTAATTTTTAGATCTTCCTTAATGATTAACAGTGCTTTATATACATTACATGCTCAATGTTTATTATTAAGAAAAAACCCCAAAAGCAAAAAACAGTACTCTTCCAGAATTTTAGCCAGTCCATTTCTTTCCCATGTATGGATCAATTCCTTTTCTGCCCTGCCTATCACCCTCCTCACAAATATAAATTATTCAGTCTTGCATAACTGGATTCAAAGAAAGTTAAGGAAGGCAATATACAGCTGAATATATCACCAAAGAAGTTACCACATTACTTCTGAAAGGCCATGAATGAGGGTTCTTACTTAAAAACAAAACAAAACCTGAAACTCAGTGGCATCTGTTTTAATAATAATCCTGAACCACCTTAATATGTAAACGGCTGCAAGAGCTGGGAGTGCTCAATAAACTTAGATAAATTCATTTGATCCTTTTAACATCCCTAGGGGATGAGGAGGAAAAAAACAAAACAAAACAAAATCCACATAGCCAGTTCAAAGATAACAAAACATAGAAAGATTGAAGTGATGTTCAAGGTCATCCAGTAAGAGCTTGAAATCAAAACAGATCTTTTGATTCTTAGACCGCTATTCTATCTTGTAGTGCAGAGGTCAAACCTTTATAGCTTTGAGTACTATCAATAGGAATGAGCAATGCCTACAAGCAAGCATAAGTATAATTAGGAAGAAAAGAAAGGAAAAAGGCAAAAAATGATGATTTTTGGAATCAAAGGATCTGAGCTAAGTAGAGGCTTTTCAGCTTACTACCTGAAGGACTTTGAGCCAGTCACTCAACCAGTCTGGGTCTCAATTTCACTATTTGTAAAATGAGAGTATTGGATTAGATGATTTTTAAAGTCCCTTCCTGCTCTAGATTCTATGATTTTATAAGAGGTAGGAGAATGGAAAAACTACAGCTGCCTCTTATTCCACAGGTATATTGGGGAAGAACTGCTTACTTCTGTTCTATAATACAAGCCTAACTACCTATACATAAAAAAATCAAACTCTATAATGGCTTTTCTTCCTGAAATTATTTATACCTTGAATGATGGCTAGGGGTTGTTGGACAAAGTAATCTCTCAATACCAACCCTTACTCTTAGCCTAAATTACCTGTTCCCCTTTAGTATATCTGGATACTAGACTAAGTACTTCCTGCTATTCTTAGGAATGCTACTAAAGAGGGCTTAGATGTACACTTGTAAGAACTGTATAAAGTCCCTTCCAATTCTAGGATTCTCTGTTTAATCAGGGGAAAAGTCAGATATTACCTTATAATTACAAGAAACCAGATCCCACTTTAAAATTGGTCTAACTTCGGAAACTAAGCACTTAATGGACTAACCAAGTGCTCCTAGTAGTTTAAAAGCAGAAAAATTAAGTCATGAAGAAATAGCAATAACCTTATCAAGTTTTCAGAGACAAGGTAAAAACACTCCTTAAGTATACCAAGTTAAACTGAAACACTGCAATTTTGTTTCTTCCTTACATTGCCTTTGATAATGACTTGATCTTTACATGATAGCCTGAATCACACTTAAAATGCTTCATATTCCCATTACACCTTCTATAACCCTCAGGTACGTAACAGTAACTATCAGATACATCACTTAGCGAAACTAAGTTCTGGCACATCTGTTTAACAATTCAGAACTAGAAACCGAAACCATTCTAAAGTATCTATCTCCTAACCATTCAAGGCTATGGTATGTGATATATTTCTGTAATAGAACCACAACAAATTTGGAATGAATTCAAAAGTTAGTTAAATCCTAGAAAAGTCCCTCTTCACATCAGATCCTAACAGCATTTTCCCCTATTAATGAGACATTTAAGATGTTTTTAAGCCACCATTCCTTTTAATTCTAGTAAAAGCCTAAATTAAAAAAAAAAAAAAAGTTAAAATCATGGACCCGAATTTCTAATTTCACTTCATTTTAAGTGCAACTTTGCTCTCTAATCACTCCCATAACAAGTAACACTATTAATAGTGATACTGAAAAATAAACATAATTTTTTTTTAATGTGTCCTTTCATCTGGAATTAGTGTACTTCAGGAAAACTTTCGGTCTTAGCAATGTTGTTTTGATCTTAAGCCACGAAAACCAGCTGTTCAAAATTTTCTGTATGTTTGAGAATGCTAACTGGGCCCATGAACCAAAGAAATAATTGTAAAAGTCTTTTTTTGGTGGACTTATTGTACATTTGTATTCTTGCTAACTTTGTCTTCCCCTCACAACCAAAAAGTTGGACTTTCCTTTCACTCTTCCTAAAGGGATAGGAGCATCTCTGAAATACTGCCAAGAATGCAAGAGGGAATGGGCATTTTTCTTTAAAAAGTGAAGAGAATTCAAGGATAAAGGAGAGAAGATTAACTGCTCACACTTTAAAAAAAAAAAAAAAAAGCATGAGTATGTAGGGGGTAAGGTCTATAATAGCCAACACTCTGAAGAGAGAAAATGGCAATCCAGTTTTCCCTCTTGCTAATTTTTCTCAATTTCTGCTCTATATCAGGCAAGACCTGTCTAGCAAACCTAAGAGTTGTTAATAATAAAATTAAGCCTAGAGATTAAAATACTTAAAAAAAAAAAAATCTTTCTCTTAATCCAACCAATCACATTTTGGCTCTATCTTTCAAAGACCTGATGCATTGTTACTTTTTCTTTTCGGAGGTGGGGCAAAAGAGAATTCCACTGCTATCACTGAGAAGCTAAATAACCCAATTAAGTTTTTGTCCACCTCTAGATAATTTTTAAAGTTTTATCAGTAAAATCACATAGGATTCTGGACTATAATGCACCCATCCCTTAGCCTCTCACTAAAGTTTCACGTAGGTATTATTTTGGTGGCAGCGCTACTACCGGATCATCGGATCCATATTTGGGGAAAAACTCAATTCTGGGGGCCTTAAAGTTCCTCAGCAGTGCACAAAACCCCTGTAATGTGCTGAAGTGTTCCATCACTCCAGAAGTCTAATCAATCAAAATTGATGGGAAAAGATGGAGTGGGGGAGGGGTGCTTGACATCGTTGTACAATTATGGTAGTAGTTTCGAGCAGCCTTTTAATACCGTTTTTAAGAAACCCATCACATTCCTAGGGCAGTTCCCAGTACCTATTCCTTTCCCAGCTCAAAAAACCCTGAATACTTGGCATGCCTCTCCCAAGTCTTTCCATCTCTCTGCTAGCAGGATTTAATGTAAAAAATTGGGCAGCCAAAGGAAGGAGCTGACTCAGTCTGGACATGTGACCTTGGGCCGGTCCCTTTCACTTCCCTGGGCCTCAGTTTCCCTATCTGCAAAAGAGGAGCCTTGAACAGGATGAGCTCTTAGCCCCTTCTGTCGGGGATCCCTCAGCTAGGATGACTTTTCCTCCCCAAGGATGGAGAGGGAGATGCGTCCTCCCCGTCTACCTACTTAGAAGGGCCCTTCCCGGGCCTCGGAGATTCCCAGGAGGGATGGATGGAGGAGAGTAGCCGGACTGCGCCCCCACCCCCACCCCAGCCTCCTCAGGGGCTGACAGACTCGCCGAGGTGGCCAGGCCCGGTCCCCGGAGAGAGAAGCGTCCCAGCTCTCAGCCGGTCTCTGGAGTCCGAAAGCCCGGTCAGCCCCGCTCCATTTCCCAGGCCAGGTCCGGGCCCGATGGCCGCAGCCTCAGGCGGGTACGAATAAGAGGAGGGAATGGGGCCGAGCCGGGCCGGGCCTCGCCAGGAGGGAGGAGGGAAGCGGCGCTGCTGCTGCCGCCGCTGCTGGGCCCAGCTCGGCCCGACCCGGCCCAGAGAGGGTCGCCTCACCTCAGCGCGGCCGCGGCCCCCGGCAAGTGTCCCGGATCGAGGCAGAAGGTGCCCGGATGGTCGGTGGCTACGGCGACGCTTCCCTTTGTCTCGGGACTTTCCCTCCGGAGCCCGCTCCGCGCGCAGCCGGACCCAAGACGGCAGGACCCCGGCGCGGCGCGGGGCGGGGCGGGGGGAGGGGGAGGGAGCCGCGGGCTGCCCCGCCGCCCGCCTGCGCCCGCGTGCCGCCGCCGCCACCACCCCCGCCGCTCCCGCGGCTCCCCTTCCCCCTCCCCTTCTCGCCCGTGCCTTCGAAGTCCCACCGGCCGCACTGGCTAGACCGGTTCGCCTCCCCAGGGAACGCGATGGGGTACGAACTTCGGGCGTAGGGACCCCCGAGGAGCGATTTCTTCCACAGGCAGGGACTTAGCTACCTGTACACTTAAAGGAGCCGCGTCCCTAATATTAGGGACCATCTGCAAACTACCTTTCGGAATGAGTTCGTTCATCTGAAGATACGCGTAGAAGGAATAACGAAAAGGGGGCGAAGGAAATCCCAAGGACTCTTCAGATGCTCGGAAGGGCACCTCAAGGTGGCCAGTCCCCGAGGTCCCCTAGTCAGATAGCACCAAAGACCTTGGAGAAAAGTCCACTGAGGCCTGCAGATTAACCCGAGCATCTCAGTATCCGGATGACCCCCACAAGCTCAGAGACCTCTGAAACCTTTCCGGATTGGTCACTTTGGAGGAATAGGCGGAACCTACCTCAGATTCAACCAATGAGAGGGTTCGGCACAAAACTCCGGCTCCTGCAGGACAGACGGAAGCAGAATTGTAGACGGTCCCTAAGTGACAGCAGGGGCCAGGACGGAATGGGGGAGGGGCGGGCTACAGTGTGGGGGAAGGGCGAGAACGAAGGACCCGGGGCCAGGGCGGGGGAGGAATTTAGTGGGCGATCCTCGAGCTGCCTTCTTGCACCGGCCTAACTCGAGGCCCTCCCTCCTGTGTGTAGTGAGCTCGAGTCCAGAGCAGGCGGGGGAGGCTTCGAGAGTCCTGGCACTGGCCTAGGCCCAGCCAGGCCGCGTTTCCTGCGAGGCTCGGGCATTGCCTCCCCCACCCATCCGCCTTGAGTACCCACGAACTGTAGGCTTGTAGCCCTAGAAGCTGCCAGGGACCTTGGAAAGCATCCCTTCCATTGGACGGTGGAGGCCTGCCAGGCCCAGAGAGGTCAAGGCCCTTGTCCAAGGTCACTCAGGCTGTAAGATACTGAGTCACGTTCGAATTCAGATCCTCGGACTACCAAGGTCATCTCCAGCCTTACCTATGGGGCCCCAGCGCTTTTCTTGGGTCTCTTTATTTTTACTAGATTAGAACACTAAGTTGGGGACACTCCGCATAGAGGATTGAAAAGGTCACATCATTCAGCATTTATTAAGAAGCTACTTAAGGTGTATAACACATTTACTGAGAAGTCTATCTCAAAAGAGTAGAAGAGACTTTAGAAATACCTTTCTCATCCTGGCTTTCAAGACCCAGCTCAAATGCAATCTCCTCCAAGAATCCTTCCTCTGATCCCCAAATTGGGAAGTGATAGCTGGAAAGGACCTTAGAGGTAATTTTTTACATCTGTGGCTCCCTGTTGCCTATACAATGAAATACAAACTGCTGTCCATAATACAGTTTCAATCTGCCTTTCATCTGTGGATAAGTGTTGGCTGTTTCTCTATAACTGGAATATATTTATCTTCTCCATCTGCCAAAATCCATTCCTTCAGCTAAGATGTCCCCTCTTCCATGAAGCCTTTTCTGTACCACCCCAAATTTTCTTAGATTAGTTCAACTGAAGTTATTCCTTTGCTCTTATGCTAATCTACTTTATATTAATCTTGTTTGTGGACACAAAGCCCCCTCCCCTGAGGCAGCTAGGTGGCATAGTGGATAGAGTACTGGGCCTGGAGTCAGGAAGAGTCATCTTGCTGAGTTTACATCTGGCCTCAGACACTTATTAGCTGTGTTAACCCTGTCTGCCTCAGTTTCCTCATCTGTAAAATGAGCTGGAGAAGGAAATGGCAAACCACTGCAGAATGTTTGCCAAGAAAACCACAAATCGGGTCACAAAGAGACCTACACAACTGAATAACAACAGCTTCTTATCAAGCAGATCTTAAGCTTCTTGAGGTGAGGAACCGAGGAACCGCTAGCTTTATGTATCACCTGGCAGCACCTCTCAGCTCTTAAGTAGGGCCTCCCAAACTTGGTATCCCACATCCAAGGTACTCTGTAGGTCTGTAGCTGCTCTCAATCAGATGCAGAAATCATAGCTCACACGCCCTCACTGATGTGTTTACTTATCAGCCGTACCACTAGTTCAAAGCAAAGTCATTTAATGAAATTATATGGAAAGAAAAGCAGTAATAAAACATTTCCCTCATAAATGATGCACACACACCTACAAATATATATATTGGGAAGAGTAGACACATAGGCCAGTGGACACACAGGATAAACTTACAGTTTTGACTTTATACTGATGGTCTCTGGTACTTTTATAGCATTGTTCCTACAGGGCCTCTTCTCAACTGGCATCCTGAGGCATTCAGTTTCTGCCAAGTGTATAGACTTTCGTGCGTTTCTGGACATGATGTGTAGTCTCTGCTGATACAAATTCCTACCACTTGACTTTCTGATTATCTTGTGGCTTCTACCAAACTGAGTTTATGGTTTATATAGGCTCTTAATAGATTCTTAATATATGCTTGCTTACTGATAGATTTCAGCTTTTGGCTTCAGCTGGAGCCTAGAGGTGCTAAGATGCACCGTTTAAATAAAGATTTGGCACAGGTGGCTCACCTTTCAACTTGAAGTCTAAAGGCTTAAGGGACAGCTCTTTTAGGAAGAGAGGGCCCTTCTATTCCCAGTAATCAGGCTAGGGAAAATCCTTAGGACTTTGGCTTTTTCTTCAGTATAAGGAGACTTTATGAGTTCTCAGAGCCTGGTTAACTCAACCATCATAAGGGAGTGGGGTGGTAAATGTTTGAATCAGTCACCCCATCCCACCTTAAGTAAGTACCTTACCTATGAGTCAGTCAACTGAAGCTATTAAAGTCTGTACACAAAGTACTTAAGCAGTTTGGAAGGAGTGAAAGTCATTGACTGAGGAAGTATTTGGGATTAGTTAAATTGCCTTTCAAGGTGAGTCTGTATAAAATAGCAAGCCAGTTAGGATTTCAGCATTTGAGTAACAGGCCAACTCAGGGGTACAAGGAGTTCCAGCTAAGTCCCTAAGAGGGAATTGCTTGTCTGGGCAAAGCCTCTGCCTCTTTGCATCTCTCTCTGTCTCTTTCCATCTTCAAAAGGTTGGAGGATATAAAGTTCTCTGGTCTCCTGCTAGTGTTCCTGGAATAGCAGTTGCTGTTAGTATCTTCCTCAGGAGTTGAGGACAAACTAGAATCTCTGGGGAAAAAGAGCTTCATGACTTTATAAGGAGCCCGGCAGCAAACTGCATCCTTCTTCAGAGGACCTTACTGAGGACTCCACAAATGGGAGAAAAGGTCTTTTAACCCTCAAGAGATGTGAGTTAACTCATTGCCACATATGTTTTCTAAGGTTAAGTCCACTTTCCTCTGAACTCTGAATTTATTGTATAGGAGTGTACCCCTGGTTTGGGGTGAGATGGGGTGTTTATACTAACTGTTCTTATACCATCTTAGTAAATATCTGTTTCTACAAGTTAATTAAGCCAACAATCAATGATGTGGTGTTTGTCCTTCATTTTGGAAGAGGATTAATGACATCACAGGTGATATCTTGACTTGTGAATGCTTGGGGTAGTTATCCCCTAATCCACCAATGGGTTTGAGGCCTGTTGGTTACCCTCAATCGGGTTTAGCCCATCTGCCAAGAGAGTTTTACTGGGGTGTGGCATTCTGCATCTGGCATCATCTTGGAGCTAGGTGAAAATTGGGTGACAGGTAGACACTAAACGTGGTTGAGCAGCCCTGAAGTGGGCTTGGTAAGCATTCACACCAGAGGTGTTAGTCTTCCCTGAACATCCTACATGTGAGCATGACAATAATACTGGAAAGTCACTCCCAGCCCCTCAGTGTTGCCTCCTAAAACTTGAGAGGAGATGTAGGGACCCAGCTGGCTAGTCTGAGTGGGGTTTGGGAGAGTGAGTCCAGAGTATGGGCCACATCAAGATTTACCTAGACCTTTGTATTCCCGACATGTTGTGTGGTACATTGCTTAATAAATATTTGATGAATTCACATTGAATCTGGCATACCCATCTGTCCTCATACATCTCTTACTAAGCAAGAATAAGTAACTTATAGTAATAATAGCTGGCATTTATATAGCTCCTGTGCTAAGCACTTTAGTATCTCATTTGAGACTCACAAAAGTCCTAGGAGGTAGGTGCTATTATTATCCCCATTTTACAGATGGGGAAACTTTGACTTGCCAGGGTCACACATCCGGGATTTACTGAGGCTGGATTTAAACTCACATCTTCCTGACTCCAGGCCCAGTACTCTATCCACTGTACCACCTTACTGCCTCTAACTTCCTAACTTTCACAGGTGATCCTTTCCTGTTCATACCTTAAAAATAAGTCTGTATTCATTCCACAAGCACTTATCTAGCACCCACTTTGTGATGGGCAGGATGCTGGGGAAATGAAAACAGGAAACAAAACTATCCCTGCCTTTGGGAAGCTTGTATTCTCTTGCAGGGAAGTGGAGAATACTATGTACACAGATAAGTGAATTACAAAACATATGCAAAGTCAATATAGGACATGGTCTCTTTTGTACTATAGTTATTTCCCAAAATCCTGGAACAATATTTCAAGTTGAAAGGGACCACATAAGCCATCTACAGTAATGCAACCAGTACCTGGCCCATGAATCCCATTTATAACATCCCAAGGAAGTAGTCATTCACCTTCCCAACTCAGACTGTTTGGGAAATTCTTTCTTATGCTGGGTCAAAACCTGCCTCTGGTAAATTCTGCTCTTGGCTTCTAGGTCAGCCATCCAGAGGCAAGCAGAACAAGTCCAACCTCTCTTCCCTATGACTGTCCTTCAACTATTTGAATGATTGAAAAGCATTTATTAAGTGCCTGTAATAAGTTCCGGGGGTGTAATCTTTTCTTTAAATGAGGTTTCAGGTTTAAATCAAATAGAAGGGTGCAGGTGTCCTTAGAGTACAGAAGTGAAGCAGCTGGTAGTACATTACCCTTTGATGTCCTTTCTGTTACAATCATATCTATGACTGAAATTGAACCATTTGCCAGTGCTGTGGATTTTGGTGGCAATAACTTTCTTTTTTGGGTCTTCAGAGGCTGTTGCATCTCAGTGGTGGTTGAGATGTTCTGTCTCTACAAGGGTTGCCCCTTTGGTGGTGGAAGCTGAGCTGGAAGCAGGAAAAGTGGTCAAAGGACACTGTTCCTAAGAATCTTGGGCCATGTGTGTTGAGCCGTCTCCACTGGGATCCAAGGGAATGTGATG